CATTTTCGGCTTAAAGCGGCCGCCATTTGGCTATCGTTAATGAGATCATGAAATAAATGCACATACATATTTGTGACATGATGTACCTTGTGTGTGTGAAGTTTGAACTCGATCAATCCAAGCATGTCTCAGATACGGATTCAGAACTGAATTCTTTAAAACAAAATGGCCGCCAGTCGGCCATTTCGAACCCGATCCAAAAAAAAAAATGACGTGCATCAAGGTCCTATCATGTTTAATGTATGTACCAAATTTGAACAAAATCCGTCCATGCATAACTGAGATCCGGGTCCGGAATGGTGAAAATGTGCGATTTTGATGCATTTTCGGCCTTAAAATGGCCGCTATTCGGCTATCGTTAATCAGATCATGAAAAAAATGCATGTGCATATGTCCCATATAATGTGTGATGTATGAGTGAAATTTGAACTTAATCGGTCCATGCATGTTCGAGATACAGGTGATCACGGACGCACGGACGCACACAGGGCAAAACATAAGTCCCCGTTTTCGGACTGCGTCCGAACGGGGACTAACAAACATGAATTTGAATTACCTTTTGGCTTTTCATCGATAAGCACCTTCTAGTGGCAAAACAAAATACATGATTTCAAGGTTCAAATACAGTAGCATGCAAAAAAAAAAAAATTACAAGTGATATGTTATAAATGTACAGAATATGGAGACATGGAAACCACAATGCTAAGAGATGAGACCACAAATCAGCCACGATTTTTTAGAACTAATAATACTGCATGAAAATTATTAACAGTTTATAGCATAATCACTCATCCTCACACTCTTGAATGTTTTAGGACATGCCAGAAGAAGATAATGGACAGCAGAATATTTTATTCTATATTATAATTAACTGATTAGTTGTGGATAGATTAGATGTGACAAAATACTTACCTCGTTAGAGCCAGTCAATTTACTGATGTTGTTGGTGTTTGCAGTACGAATACTAAAAGGTAAACAAATAGTGAATTTAAAAGATTGCAAACAGTTTTTGCGTAATGAACACAGTTCAAATCTAACTTTCTTCAAACGTTTGTCATATTTAGCTAGCAGCATTTTAACATATACTGTAAATCCATTTATTTTCACTGGCATTTAATTTCCCAATTTTGAGCATAATAATTGGGTTTTAAGTTTGCCAATTTACCAGCGAGTTTACTGTTACATGTCCACATGAGTTAACTCAGCGAATTTTACTTATTAACCAAAATAGCGAAATTAAAACCCAGTGAATAATTAATGTATTAAAATTTTCAATGGGTTTAAATTTCACTGATTTACCATTTCAGGCATATGCATTGGGTTTTAAATTCACGGTTTTATCATTTAGATTATGTGTTCTATGCCAAATTTCACATATTCACTGGGTTTTAATTTAGCGCATTTTCTAGTCAGTGAAAAAAGCAAAATTATAACCCAGTGAATAATTAACCCTTTTACAGTAATAGCTTCCATAATTTTCGTGTGACTTTTTTGCCATGTTTTTAATATTGAATGAAATAAAAACAAGTCATTGAAAATGACACAGTCCCCGTTAAATGTTTGAAAGTTCTCTTTGTGCTCATCATATTTAAGCGGAGGGGTTGTCGTGAGCGTGTTCTTGAAACTTGAGTTCCAAGTGGCGTATACAACAGATTGTTTATTTTCATCAAAACACGTGTTCTGTGTAGTACTAATATGGCAAAAAATTAAAACAGCCATAATTCGGCCATCTTTGATCTGATTATGAAATAAACTGATATGTATGATGTATGTGCCAAATATGAATGAAAATGGTACATAAATTGTGGAAATATAGTAGTAAGGCCAAAAAGTCAGATGGCTGTCAATCAGCCAGCTTTGACCAGATTTTGAAACAAATTGTCATGGACATGCATCCTAACATGTATAAACATGTATGTGCCAAATTTGAATGAAAA